CTCATTCCTGTTAAGGTGAAACCAGCTCAAAGATGGCCGTCCAGCAGATTTTCCGAGGCTCTACGCTGCATGGGAGGAGAGTGCCCATCCTTCTCTCACACAGCAGCTGGTAGAATCGAATTGCTGCCTTTGGGTTAGCAGTGCACCTCCTTACCAACTAGGCAAACAGAATTCCCTCATACTTGGAGGTTATTGTTGTTGTGTGCCATCCAGTCGGAAGTGACTCATAGCTGACCCTCCAGCATGTTTTCAGAGGAAGTAAATCACATGGAAGGAGCCTGCCTGTTCTCCCACCATACTTGGATAGGCATTTAGAACTGCACATGTCCAAACCCACACCTGCTCTTTCCTTAATTCAGTAAACAGAAACTCCATTTTTACTATTGCTTAGGCTAAAACCTTTGCGGCCATCTCATTTCTTTCATGCCCATATCTAACCTGTTACCTCCTCCTGAAAAATGCAGCGAAACCTGTGGAACCTGTTTAAGAAAGAAGGCCCTTAGGGAAGGAAAATGCAAGTATTTTCCACTATATCAGAGAGACAGGAGTGGGAAGGGTGGATCCTGTGAAAGGTGTAAAATAATCAAGGCAGTCTAGTTGAGTTTTAGCTCCAGCAGGATTCCCTGTATCTTCAGAAGCTAGTATCTCATACCATCAGCACTGGTACCACCCTGGCTAGATACACTCTTTCACCTGGACTGTTACAACAGATGCCTAACTGATCTGCTTGCTTCTAACTTTGAACCTTTTTTTTTTCTTAGTTAGCAGCATAACAATTCTTCTAGGCTCAAAATCATGCAAGGAACTGTCAACTTCCTCCACAGTAATATAATACATAGTCTGTAACAGAGCACACTGATCTCTTTTTACTTTTCTGAGTTTATTTCTCGCCACCCTCTGGTTCACGTCACTCCAGCCTTACAGTCTTCAAAACTGCCAACAATGGTTTAATTCTCAGGAGTTTGCAATCAGTTTCCCCACAGCCTGAATTAAAACTCTGTCAAATAGTTTATGCCTGGGTCTCACATTTCTTTTGGGGCTCAGATCAAATATCAATGTATCAGTGATTCCTTCCAAATAGACAGGATCCTGTCCCTTCACAAGTATACATTACTTATGCCTTTACCCTCTTATTTATTGAATATATTTTTCATTTTCTTGCCAGTTTAAAGACCAAGCTGCACCTGATTAAAGCCATAATATTTTCAACTGTTTCTTATGCACCTGAAAGTTGGACAACGAATAATGATAGAAGAATTGATGCCTTTAAGTTGTGGGCTGGAGAAGAACTGATTATTCCATGCATTGCCTAAAAAACAAACAAATGTGTTTGGAAGGAAAAGCAATAAAAGGGCTCATAAAAGACAAGGATGGTGAAAGTTTATCTCACATACTCTGAGTATGTTGTTAGGAAGGGCCAGTCCTTGGAAAAGGACATAGGGCTTGAAAAGACTGTCGGGGAAAGAGAGGAAGACACTCAACAAGATGGAGACACAAAGACTACCACAGTGGGCTCAGGATGGACAGAGATCCTGAGGGCGGCACAGGAAGGGGCAACGTTCAGATATGTCATTGATCAGACTGTTCTGAGTTCCTGATTGAACTTAACAACTCATTACAGGACTGTTGTATTTGCCCATTTATCTTTCCCAGCAGAAACAAAGTGCTGAGGGTATGGATCTGTCTGTTTGTTGGCCCAGAAGAGTGATACAGAACTAACCTGACAACTAGCAGCCACCTCCCATCCAATGGTGATGTAACAGAGTAAAACTATATATACTCTAATGGAAGCAGGAGGGGCATCCACTTCCTAAACAACATGCCTCCTGAAATTTTAGATCAGACTTTGTCCAGACGTATCTCTGAGTAGACGTAAAACTCCATTCTTTTGGTTAAATAGTTGAGAGTGTTTACACCACTCTGGGATGCTGATTATGATTTAAAACCAAATCCAAACCCCTCTGTTTCCAGGCTACTCCCAACTCCCGGCAACCCTCTGTCAGGTTTCCAAGACTGCCCACCTTCCTCTCCGGGAGCAGCTAGTCAATTTGAATTGCAAACATGTGCGTTAGTAGCACAACATGTAATGCAGCGCCTGGGCTACTTTTGATTCATATATTTAAAAATATTCAACTCGTTGCCATCGGGACACAATCAACCCATTGCTGACTCTCCAGCAGGGTTTCAGGAATTATAAATCAAATGAGAGGAGACTGCCCTTCTTTCTCCTGCAGAGTTGTTGGTAGGTTTGAACCAGTGAAGTGGCACTTTTGGGTTAACAGCATACTCCCTACCTGCTCAGCCACCAGATTCACATATTGTGGTTGTTAGGTGCCACTGTATGACTCATAGCAACCCTAAGAACAGCTGATCAGAACCCTGCCTTGTCCTCTGCCATCTTCATCACCTCTGATAAACTAGAACCCACTGCTGAAGTCACTGTGTCCATCCATCTCATTGAGGGGTCTTCCTCTCCTTCGTGGATTCTCCATCTTTCCAAGCATGATGTCCCTTTCAAAGGAATACAAAGCTTCACCATCTTTGCTTCCAAGGAGCCCTCTGGCTGCACATATAGTGGCTCGAATTTCACTGGCTGAATGAATGGACCAGCGAATCAGGACTGAAGAATTTGGGATCACCTTAATTTGCTCATCAAATTCTTAACTGGGATCATCAAATCACTTTAATTTGGGGCCTGTCATTTCTTGTGTGCTCTTGGAAAGATTACTTAAGCATGCTTTATGTAATCTCACACATCAAATAAAGATACTAATCCTATCCATAGGATTATAACGACTAAAAAAAATATATTATGTTCTAAATAAACTGCAAATTGGTATAAAAGTAATCAATATGACTGTTATTTAATTGGCTGTTACTTAATACAGATTTGAACTACAAAAACCCCAAACCCTAGCTTATGATCATGGCTAGATGTTACTGTTGTTATATGCCATAGAGTCGCTTGCGATTCATAGTGATCCTATGTACAACAGCCCTATAGCCTGCTCTAACCTGTCCCAATTTATTGTCTCTGACACACCTATCCCATTACCCCAGTCACTGAATCAATCCATCTTACCAAGAGTCTTCCTCTCTTGCACTGTCCCTCTACTAACCCAAGCATGACGTCCCTCTCCAAGGACTGGTACTTCCTTGCAACATGCCAAAGTAGTCAGACAGTTTCAGAATCCTTGCCTCCATGGAGCAGTGTGCTTTCACCCTCTCCAGGACAAATGTGTTTGTTCTCCTATCCATCCATGGTATATTCAATACTCTCCTCCAGCACCACAGCTCAAAGGCATCACTTCTCCTTCTATCATTCCTATGGCTAGTTAAGAACTGATTTAATATATAAGAAGGCTATTTACTTCTATATTAATCCATTCAGACAGCTATGACTAAAGTCCTATGGACAAAGAGATGGATAAGATAGTTCCTTTCCTCAGATTTTTTCCTTTCCTTAGTTCTATGATCTTGAGTAGGTCTTTTCAAATGAGTATAATGTAATTGCTACCTCATAGATTCACTGTTATGAATTAAATGAGTTATTATGTGAAAAGAGTGTCTTGTACATAATAAGCATTCACTAAGGGCTTGATTATGATTCTAGTCTAGTGGAGGGAGTTCTGGTGGCTTAGTGGTAAGGCATCACGCTGCCAACTCAAAGGCAAGCAGTTTCAAACCACCAGCTGCTCTGCAGGAGAAAATGGGAGATATAAAGCCTCTGAAAATCCACTGGAGGGTCAGCGAGGAGTCAGTTGTGAGGCGTTGGCATCTAACAACAGCAGTGTAAGAGTTTGAACTGCCAGTGGTTATGAGTCCAGCTGCTGATCCAGAGGTCAGTGGAATAGTGACCTGCTAGGAGAGAGAAAGATGTGGCAGTTGGCTTCTGTAACGATCACAGGCTTGGGAAGAAACCCTAAGTTCTACTGTAACCTTTATGGTCACTTCAAGAAGTTTATCTCTTTGTCTGGAGAGGGATAAAGGAAATTACAATAAAACTAGAGCAAAAACAGAGTCACCAACCAACTAGAAAAAGGTCCCCTAAACTGGAGTCTGCCCACAAAGTTGCTGTGCAATAGTAAGAAAAAGAAAAAAAATTAAAGTGTTATCATAATCTACCTTTTTATCACTTTAACCTCCATAGTAAATTAGTTAGACAAATAACTATTTGGCAGATTTAGTTGGAATCTGAAATTTGTGTAAATAAAATCGAGGAAGGTTTAAGATTCTCAGAACAGTGTTTCAATATTTGCAATGAGAGAGTAAGATCATCCCAGCTCCTTCCTCCAAAAATGCTTAACATATTAAATCTGAGAAACTTCCAATAGAATGGTGTAATCGCCTAAATGAAGCAACTGATTAGAAGCTGAGAGCACAAGGATCAGACCTGATTGGGTCCTGGAGGTAAAATAGGAGTTTTATAGGGGAGAAAAGGGCGTGTCACTTTTGGAGAGAGAATAGCAAGAGCCAAGGGGCGGAGGCATGAAAGTACATTGAGCGTGACTTGGGAGAACCAAGCTGCTTATTTTTGGGGGGTCGGCCACAGTGCAGGACATGTGCAGAGGAAAAGTGCGGCCTGTCGCTTGCCAGGTGAAGAAACCCCCCCTCCACACCCAGGCCACGAACCCTCTGCCTCGGTGTCCCCAGGGGACCATCTATTCAGGCCAAGGGACCCTCTGTGCAGAATCCACTCCGCTGGGCTCCCACTGGCTCCCGCCACTCCACCCTTACCTCGTCTTCTAGTCTTTCCCTCACTCTCCCGCCTCCTCCGCCTTTCCGGAAGTGACGTAAAATTCGTGCGCCGCACAGCGCCAGAAAGGTTCCGCGGGCGCGGAAGAAGAGTTCCGGCGACCCTCAGTGCGCCGGCGTAGAGGCGCGAGCGATCAAAGCGCCTTCCGAGGGGCGCGGACCTGAGCTCTGTTGCTGGGGCTGCAGTCTTCGAGTGTCCGGATCCGGGTTCGGAGAGGCCGCCGGACCTTTTTCCCGCACCTCTGGACGCCTCCGAGTGGCCCTGTCTCTCCGGTTCTTGCCCCTTGACCCTGCGTTCGCGGCGGGGTGAGAGGTCGGGTGGCCATCTTGTGGCGGCGGCGCGGGCGGCTGTTACTGCGGAGACCCATCCCCTCCCCCTCCACGCCCCCCAACCTCCACCGAGACGCTGTGTCAGTCAGTAAAGGGGCCGGCGGTCCGTCCTGCGAGGCCCTCGGCCGTGTGCCCTTTCTTTTCCCGCCGCGCTGGGCGGCCCGGGCCGCCACCACCATGTCCTCCTTTTCGGAGTCGGCTCTGGAGAAGAAGCTCTCGGAGCTGAGCAACTCTCAGCAGAGCGTGCAGACGCTGTCCCTGTGGCTCATTCACCACCGAAAGCACGCTGGGCCCATCGTGTCCGTATGGCATCGCGAGCTCCGCAAAGGTAACCACCCACCCACTCCCCACCCCCTCGGCGCGATCCCGGGGCCCCGGGCTCCTCGCCGCGGTCCCTCGGTCTCTCCGAGCTTCCGAGGTTGGAAGCAGAGCTGTCGGAGGAAGAGGCCGAGGCCCGGGCAGATTGAAGGCACTTGTCCGAAATCCCGCTGACCGGTGCCCGGGTTCCCATCTGCAGCCTGTCGGGTCCTCGGCGCTGGGAGTGACCGTCGCTTTGGAGGCTCGGGAGGCGAACTGCCTAAAAAGTCTTGGCCCAGCCACTTACTAGCTGCGTGATCGTTGGTTAACCCTTCGCCTCTCGTCTGTAACACGGAGGCAAAGGTCACTGAGAATCGCTTAGAGTCTTTACTCTGTTCTGGTTACTGTGCTAAGATCTCTGTGTATTTGGTTTTGTTTTGTACCGTGAGTCATAGCTCGCACGGGAGGAGACTGCCCGTCCTTCTCCCGCGGAGCAGTTGGTGAATGATGATGATGATGATGAAATTGATTTTAATGAAAGTTTACGGAGACTTTAGATTTCCATCCATTCACTGTTGGCACTTTTCTCCCTGTTCCCCCCTCCCCCCGGTGGATTTGAACCACCTGCTTTCCAGATTGCAGCGCAGCTTCTTGCCACTAGGTCATCAGAGCTCCCTTGTGTGTGTGTACGGGCACTCAGTCCTCGGAACAGCACTGAAGAAAGTTTTAAGGATCCACATCACCTAGTCTTTAACTCTCAGACCACCTCTCATGTACCTGCCATTGATTTCCAGGCTCTGCTTGGACCCTAGCAGACATTCTTTGAGCTCAGCTTGGCACTAAATTGGGGCTCAGAGGACGACAGCCTAGATTCTTAAGCTTGACTTGGCCCCTTACTAATACCAACAGTTTAATCTCTCTGTCTCTCAGTAGCCTTTAATCTTCAGAGTCTTTTTTTTTTCCAAGTAGGAGTTTTGCAGATGCACAGAAACTGATGCTTGAACAAGTTGGGGTGAGGAGCAAACCAAATAATCCACGTGAGCACGTAGCATAGTGTCAGGCACCGGGAAGCTGTTGGACCACTTGAGATGAGACTGGAATACTCAATAAGGGGCCAAGTCTTTGCTCATACCTGGTGGAGAAAGATGGACACTTACAATGCTGATATTCCAAAGAGTGTGGTAATAGAAGAATGACAACATGATGGGGATGGGACTGTAGAGTTGTGCTGGTCAGTGTACATGTGGCAGGCCCCCTTTCCAGCATAAGAAGTGCCTTTATGTGTATTCTTTATGTGAGGCGGAGGGTGTCACCTCCCTTTTATGGACGCCGAAACTGAAACTCAGAGCGGCTAAGTGGTACTTTGAAGGCCCAAGAGCTGTGAAACTATCATATTGACGGACCCCAGGATTGTTTGATTTCAGCTGATCCAGTAGAGATACCCTCGATTGTCTGGGCACTTGGGTATAGCCTGGGGCTGCCAGAGCCTACTTCAAGTATTCCATTATGGCATTTAAATATTATTTATAACGTGCTAAGATACGATAAAATTGTGAATTTGCTCTTCACAGTGTCCCATTGGATAGGATTTCTTAGAAGTCTTATTTCAAATGTTTATTGTCCACTCCCCCCACCTTGTGGGGTGTGAGTGTGTGGGCTTACTGTTGCCCCACCTCAGTTGTTACTGAAAAGAAACCATTTAGCGAGTATATGCATTTCTAAAGTTATCTCTAATCTCATGTTGTAAGTAGTCTGTTACTTGTGCTGTCAAATTGGAACTGAATCATAGCTGAGCTGCAGCAGATTTTCAGAGGCTGTAAATTGCGGGTGATTGTCAATCTTTCTCCCATGGAGTAGGGAGTGGATTTGAACCACATGCCTCTGGGTTGGCAGTGATTCCTGACCCCTTGGCCACCAGCGCTCCCTGTAAATAGGCTAGCACTTGACTGTTCTCTAGTCTTCTGAATGAGAAGACAAAGATACAAAGAGTTTTAAGTGTCTTGTTCAGTGACCTATAGCTTGGACATGGACCTGGAGCTGTCTCATGCTAACAGTTGAACTCAGTGCACTTAATATGTGAAGGCAGTTGTCTTTGACTCCAACCAAATCCAGTTTTTCATTTATTACAATTAACCACCATCTCTCACTTTATTACATTGATTTAGCCTTTATTCATTGTTACATAGTTTGTGGTTTTTTGTTTTGTTTGGTTTTTTTAACTACATTGTGTTTTGGAAGAGAAATGATTTCTCTGTAACTCCTAGGGTATTTAACAAGAACCTGCTACATTGTTATAAAATAGTTTAGGAGTTTAGTTGTGGTCTCTTAACACTGTTTCCATGCTAAGTAAAGGATCCAAGCAGTATTGTCTGCTTAAACTAGTTGTGATGATGACAATTAAATGCTCTCTAGTAAATTCACCACTTAGCCACATATGGCTATTCAGAAATCAAAATGCATGACTGAGGAACTGAATTTTTAAATAAAGATAGAATGAAGAATTCCATTCTTTCTTTTTTTTTCTTATTTTTTAAGAATTCCATTCTTTAGTGACATGAACTACAAGTTAAATGTTTAACCACATGTAGCTCATGAATCCCATCCTGGACAGTGCAGAGCCGGAGGAAATGCCTTCCAAGCATCTTTGTAGTACTCTCCTGCCCTCTGTGAATTGAAACCCTCATACTGTAGTGGAAAAGTCAATGTTTCTAATGTTAAAATTGACTGGAGTTTTAAATTCTATATGATACTGATTTTTCAAAAAGTGTACATTTCTATTTATGGCAAGTCACTTTTTCTACATAAATGATTCACACATTGCCTCTGAGTTGTCTTCAAAATATTTTACTCTTTCTCAATTAAATATACTTTTGAGTTGTTGTGTTGGCCAAGATTATTGAATATACCATGGACTCCCAAAAGAACAAATAAATACTTATCTGGAAGGAAGTGTAACCACAGTGCTCCTTAGAGGCTAGGATAGTGAAACTTCCTCTCACTTTGGGCATATTTTCAGGAGAAACCAGTCCTTGGAGAGAGACATTGTGCTGGAAAAGGTCGAAGGTCAGTGAGAGGGGAAGACCCTCAACAAGATGAATTGATACAGGACTGCCACAGTGGGCTTGCGCAGGACTGATCATCAGGAGGACACAAGATAGGGCAAGGCTCAGATCTGCTGTTGATCTGATTTCTGGGAGTCATAGTTGACTCGGTAGCACCTAACAGCAAATTAAGTAGGCCTTCTATTCCTGAGACACTATTTTCTTTCCATTTTTCTAAGAAGAACTCTTAATTTTCTACTTTGGTCTCTGTTCTAAGTAGAACCTCTCATGCTCTTCATTGAATAATTTGGTAGACAATACTCTTTATGTGAATGTTTTTAAATGAACATTTTTAAATGATGTTTTTGTATCCTAGTCTCCATGCAGATACAGGCCTTTTTTTACAAAATTATTTTGAAACTTTCTTTAGAGGTCAAAACTGACCAACCAAGTGAACATTTTGGGGGCAGCCTTTTGTTTCTACTTTGCTCAACAACTAGTTCAGCCAGTTTGGATTGGGCATAAGTAGAAGAATGCAAGGCCCTATTTTGTCGTATTGAAAGATATCTGAGCAAATGAGTTGGCACCAGGGCTGGAGTGACGGAGTGTATGTTATTCGTGTAATGAAGCACTTTAGTGCCTTGCCAAGTCACCATTACACAGACACTCATGGTATTTATGTTACGTACTGTATGTGGAAGAATAAAGTTTCATGGATTTGTGTTTGAATAAGGATGACAGGAGAATTCATACCTTTAAATTGTGGTGTTGTAGAAGAGTGCGGAATATCCTATGGACCCAAAGAAAAAACATATCTTGAGAAGGTGCAACCAGAGTGCTCTTGGGAGGCAAAGATAATGAAGCTTTGTCTTCCATACTTTGAGCATGTTGCCAGAAGAGGTTATTCTTTGGAGATGTCATACTTGGAAAGGTGGAGGGGTGGCGAAAGAGGAAGATCCTCAACTAGGGGGACTTGAAGGTGCCAGAGTGTGAGGATAGTACAGGATAGAACAAGGTTCACATCTGTTCTTCATAGGGTCGCTGCACTTCATAGGCTTGCCTGCGCTTAAGAACAACACCAAAAGAACAACTGAACTTGTGTCGGAAGAAGTGCACCCACAGGGCTCCCTAGAGGCCAGGATGGTGAGACTTGCCTCACATTCTTCGGGCATGTTGTTAGGAGAGGACAGTCCCCAGAAAAAGGGACATGATGTTTGGAAAGGTGAAGGATTAAAGAAAGCTAGGATGACCTTAACTAGATGCATTCACACAGTGGGCAACAGAGGCCTTCTGTAGTGATGGCACTGGAAAATTTAGGTATATGTATTTATGTACATACATATGTACACAGGTCTGCTAATTAAACATGAACCATGTAGGTTTGCAGTTTAGGAATTTCACTTAATCATGTACAACTGTCATTTGTTGTTTATATAGGAATAAGGTTTTATGATAAATGAATCCCTTTGGTTAAGTTTGAGGGATGATAGAAATTACTTGACATAATTGTGAAAAACCGAAACTTCATCTTACTTCAATACACCGTTAACACCCTTGGTACCAGCAGTCAGGATATCAGGAGATGTATTGCATTGGGAAAGTCTGCAGTTCTGGACCTCTCCAAATTATGAGGAGTAATGATGTTAGTTTGAGGACTAAAGTGAGTCTGATTCAGGCCATAGGCTTTCCCATCACTTGCTGTGCATCTGAGAGCTGGACATTGACTAGGGATGACAAAAGATTTGATGCCTTTGAGTTGTAGTGTAGGAGAAGACCACCGAACATCCCATGGATGGCCAAAAGAACAAACAAATATGTCTTGGAGAGGGTGCAGCTGGAGTGCTCTTTGGAGGCAAGAATGATGACGCTTCACCTCACGTACTTTGAGCATGTTGCTAGGAAAGCCTATTCTTTGGAGAGGATTGGAAGGGTGGAGGATCTGCGGAAGACCATCGACCAGGTGGATTGACGCATGCAACAGAGTGTCTGTGTCAGAAAGTGTGAAGATCGCATAGGATAGTTTGGGGTTCATATCCGCTGTTCATAGGGTCACTCTGAGGCATACTCTACTCGATGGCACCTAACAACAACAAAGTGAAAACTTTGATGCTAATCTCTTTTTTTTTAAAAAAAATAACATTTTTATTTTATCTGGTTTACTTACAAAGTACATATTTTTTTTTCACACTGGATCTTTCCTATTTCCTTTACCCACCACTCCCTTCACCCATTAAATTGTGCAGCCCTATGATTAAATCCGTCTGTGCCGCCCCCACCCCATGCCCACCCCACGTCCTCACCCCTCTGCTCCCTCTCCCTCCTTCTGCTTATACACGGTCTACAATAAAGGTCTCACAGTATTTGTCCTTATGGGACTGAGTGAATTCACTTGATGCCAATCTCTTAATATAGTGTATTTGAAATACTGACAAATGTATCAAGTCTTGAATGTTTAAATTAAGTTTTTGCAATATGGATCCTGGAATTTTAAATTTCTTAAACTTTACTTATATTTGCTTTATTAAAGGTTTGGGTTGTTGTTTTTTTTAACAGTTTAATTTACTGGCTTCCTGGCATTATGAATTTTGTATTTTAACTTAATCAAGCATCTCAGGGCCAGATTTCCTTTTTTAGAAATATCTTTGCTGTAGTCCTACCTTTGTAGCAACAGTGGGTATTTTAACTAGGGACACAGTTGTTCTGCTTTTGAATAATAAAAGAGTTCAGGATAACACCAGATTTCCAGTGTTCTCATCACTTGGCCATCTAAACTAGGTTATTACTAGAAGGTTAATGCAATTCAAAAAATCCATATTTAATTCTATGATCACTTGTAAGACATTCATTTAAACGATGATGTGCTTTAAAAAAATGGTTTTTTTACTTAAGCTACTGTCAAGTAACTACTAGCTACATTTTAAAATTTCAAATCTTAGTGCCTGCTGTATTTAACTTTACGTTCTATGTGTATTTAAAAAAAACAAACAGAAAAATGGTTTCTGAGAGAACTAGAGCAAGGACTACTGTACTTTTAAAAACAACTTTGCAGTTTGCACTTACACAATACATGTTTAGTGTGAACATTCAGGAGAGCTGTGCGGTTTTAACAATAAACTGTATATATAATGTGAACATTGTGTAAAATTCTGGTAGTTATTCACGTGTGTATAAATTGACACAGAATTTGCTTGAGTTTTTCGGATGATTTTGCACTGGAGAAAATGTCATGTTTTGAAATCTCTAAGTGTGTATTTATTTATCTCTTTTAAAAGAAAACTAGGACTAAAAACGTAGTGATGTAACTTTGTGATTGAGAAATTACATGCGTAGAAGTCAGAAAATTCAGTATTGTTCCCCCAAACAGTTGTAACCCAGACATATTACATGAAGTTTTTATGGGTTAATATATGGTACCATATAGAGGAATAGGAAGTACTACATCTAATATGTATAAAAGAGAATTACAGTTTTTGTGAGAGTCGTAATTTTGAATATCCAGATTTCAGACGTGTAAAACTTGAGAGAAAAAATATAGCACTAATGTGTATTTGTACTTGAGATAACTTTTGATACATCTAGAGATTCCTTTGGATCACTGACCCTGATTACTGAAATAAAGAAACATCCTCGTTATGTAATAGCATAAAGTCCTGAGAATCTACTGAAATTTAAATCTGTCTGTCTTTTAAGTATTCCTCTTTGCAGGAGAAGAAATCAAAGCCTAAGTTTTAACATATCACTTTGAAAATACTACTTATCCTTTAGAGACTTTATTTGAATTATCTGTCAATTAATTGGCCTGATTAAAATAACACAGAAATTAAGATGCCCTATCCCTACCATCTTTGGTTTGTTTTCTCAGAGACCCTCAATAAATTCCTTATTTAAAACAAAAAACCAGGCTGATAGCAACTTGGATCTTAAGTAGATAATGTGCATCTTATATTTTTTTATGAGTAGCCTATGGCAAAGAATGGTGTATTGAGAATTTCCTTGGCGTAAGTTTTTTTTTCTCTTTCTTTTTTTTCCAGCCAAATCAAATAGGAAGCTTACTTTTCTGTACTTAGCAAATGATGTCATCCAGAATAGTAAAAGGAAAGGTCCTGAATTCACTAAGGAATTTGAATCTGTCCTTGTGGATGCTTTTTCTCATGTTGCCAGGTATGTTGGGTTTTTTTTTTTCTTCCCTTTAAATGCAATACCTTTCCTCTATTTTGCTTTTTCCACCCCTGTAATACCTTTTATAAACTAAAGACTTTATGCTTTCTTTTAAAAGTTGCCAAAGCCAAGGTATGATTTTATCTTTTCTGGCCCATATGAAGTCTCAGTCCATTTTATTACTTTAAGGGAATTCAGCCTAGCACTTGAATTATGTCTTTTCCACAAATGCATTAAATTAGGATATAGCTTTCTTGAATATTATTATTTTTCTTGGTTTGACTTAGTTGTCTCATTAACTTAGAATTAAAATATCATGGCTAAACAGCTGAGTACTGCAAGTGAACTTTTCAGTAACAAAACCTTAATGAGTGTTAACTCATTTTTCAAAAATAAATGAGTTGGTTATAGCTTCATTTTTCTTTTTTTTTCCTTGTGGCTATCTAGTGTACTAAAAAACAGTTATCATTACCATATTTTCAAAGTTGGTAGTTATTAGTGTGGTAGTAAATGCTCTGGCTCTGTTATATTAACTCTCTATTATTCCTGTACTTTGTGGCAAAGAGGAAGGGAGCATGGTGCATATTTATAGCTAGTGTCATAGAAGGCATAACTTTGATTAAAACATTTATAGATCACTGTTACTTAACAAAAACTGCTTTCTATAGATACAAACTATGTACCAAGGAGGAACAAAGAAAATCTTGCAATTTTTCAGTAAAGCATAACTAAGTAACCACGATGTGGTGGTGGTAGTGATGGTGGTATTCCATCGAGTCAGAACTGATCAATAGCTGACCCACCAATGAGTTTTCAGAGGCATTAAATTACATAGGTAGAGATTAACCATCCTTCTCCTTCGGAGCAACTTGTGGATTTGAACCATGTGCCTTTGAGATTGTAGTACAGCTTCTTACAACTAGGCCACCAGAGTTCCCTAAGTAAACATAGAAGAAGAAAGAAAAAAAGTCTTTACTGAAGGAAATCTGAGAAGGTAAAAAGACCAGTGGATTAAAGAAAAATAGTTTGAGGTCTAAAGTATAAATTGGAAGATAAATTCAGCATGCCATAAAGGAATTGGAAAGCTTGAAGAAACAAAATCAGAAATTCAAAAGAAAACATTGAAATGTAGCTTTCTGGACCTGGGAAAAAATTTTCATTTATTTGTCAACTGCATAACTCTTACTGAACATGGACTTTGAGGAAGCATCAACTTGTAAAAATACTTACTCTTCCTAAAAAGAAGTTTAAAAAAGACTGCTAGATTAACTACTTGAAATTTGAGAGATGTTTTACTTTGATGAAATTCAGTACGTACTTTCATTATGTTGGATGCATCTCTTGTCTTGAATACTGAGTTACCTGTCGACATTACTTAACTTTTGGATCCCCTGCTTCCTACTTGGTTGAAAAGGGGATGATGCAATGTGCTCATTAGAGTTATGAGGCTAAAGTAAGACATGTTCAGAGAAAAAAACAAGCCAAAGCCAGTGTTCATCAAATTCATTCCAACTCAGAGACCCTATGGGACAGAATAGAACTATCCCATAGGCTTTCTAAGGCTCTAAACGTTATAGAAATAAACTGTCGGAAAGCTCTGGTGGCCTAGTGGCAAGAAGATGTGCTGCAATCCCAGAGGTGCACGGTTCAAGGAGGAACAATCTTGATCAGTCGGGTCTGATTTGACGGTGTACACACACACACACACACAAAATAATAAAAAAAAAAAAAATTTAAAAAAAAAAAGAAGAAGAAATAAACTGTCAAATCTTTCTCTTGCACAGTGTGTTGGGTTCAAACCACTGACCTTTCAGGTAACAGCTGAGTGCTTACCCAGTGTTCTGCCAAGGCTGATCTATATGTTTGAAAGTACCTAGTCAAATTTGTAATCTGCTCATTCCCTGGACTATATTAGAGTATAAACTTTAAAAAAATAAAGGTCATTTTGGTCTTGTTTATTGCTGTATCTGAAACACCTCATGAAATGTCTCTTAGAAGGTTGCTGTGTAGCTTTAGGGGTGCCATTTATGCAGCTCATCGTGAATGGAGCTGTGCCCAAGGGCAGAGCAGGCACTCAATAAATACTTGTTGAATGAGTTCATTAATTGAGAGTTCTAGAAATTGGCTGGAAGAATTTCCTGTGGGGCCAGTAGACCTAGTACTTGTATTTAAAAATTAGTCAACAAGCGTTAGCTGGCTTCAAACAACAAAGGGTGAGGAAAAGAACGTGGGCAATACTGCAGTTAAAAACACTGTTTTTACTTGGTGCTATCTTAAAAATCTATCCAAGAAAAAAAAATTTAAAAAAAAATCTATCCAAGAGGCAGGTTTGGTAGACTCCATGGCACTATGGAGAAAATACTCGTCTTTCTTGGGAGAACAACAGCAATAAAAGTCTGATGCCTTTGTTAACATTCTTCTAGTTCTTTTAAAAGAGCCTGGTACTTCAGTGTTTAAGTGCTTGTCTGCTAACCCAGAAAGTTAGTGGTATGAACCCAACAGCAGGTCATAGAAAGAAAAGACCTGGGAATCTGCTTCAGTAAAGATTCAGCCTAGGAAATCTAATGGGGCAAATCACTGGAAGTCAGAATTGATAGCACACAACAAATGGTCCTGTATGCCTATTTGTGGGACCACTTGTGTTTTCAGGCTTCCTCCCCAAAGAAAATCTTAACAATTTAAGTGGCTGATGTACCTCAAGCAGCAGCACAAGTACTTTAATGAAACATGAAGGAGTTGAGCCGTTAATATTTAGTAACATTCATTTGAAACATCTTTATAATAACCTCTTATTTCCCTCACCACACTCTACATTGCTCTCTCACATACATATCACACACACACCCACTAAAGCAAACAAACCCACCCTTCAAGTCAAAGAAAACTGCCACCCTCACAAGAGAGATTTTTACTAACATTAATTAACCATATTGAAAGCTGCTTTTCCATACAAGTGCAGTCTTACTTTCTTTCTGTTTGGAAATGGTGCATTTCATTTTGTTTCAGCATGTTCTGAATGGTTTTTATATTCTGAGTATTGATCAACATACTAGGGAACAAGTTAGGAAAAGACAAATGAACAAAGTACTTTCCGAGAGTAATCATAAGGGCATAATTAAGTAGAACTGTATTCTAGAGTGAGTGGGGTGGAGCAGAGTCTCTTCTGATCATTGAAGACCTCAAGAAGGAAATGACACTGTGAGGTAATGGTACAAATTAGGAACAGTTATTTGTCTTGGAGGGAGGGAGATTGAAGTTTTGTCTCACATATTTTGGGCAGTTTGTTAGGAGAGGCTATTGGATTATTCCTTAGAAAGGAACATCATGATTGGAAAGGTAGAGTGGAGGGTCGGTGAAGGAGAGGAAAACTCAACAAAATGGATTGACACGGTGACTGAAGTAAAGGGATCGAGAGTGTCAGATGATTAGGATGACAGGATAGGACAGAGTTCACGTCTGCTGTTCATTGTTCATACAGTTGCTGTGAGTTGTACTTGACTTGATGGCACATAACAAAGGCAGTAATAATATTGGCATGTTATGAGAAACAAAATGAAGATTGATGTGGTCAGAACATAGTGAACAAAGGTTAGAATATATTGAACAAAAGGGAACATAGCATCAGAAAAGTAGGCAGGTATCATTCACATAGATTCCTGTAAGCTTTAACAGTATTTTATTGTAATGGAATGTCAGAGAAGGACTTGAAGCAGGGAAATTAATGTATTTTAGATAGATTGTTCCCAGTGTGGAGAATATTTTGCAGAGGTTAAGAGGAAAACTGGTCAGTGAGTTTGGAAGCTGAAGAAGAATGACTTGGACTCAGAAGCACAAAATGGTAATAGCATACATATTGAATGCTTATTTTGTGGATGAATTTGGGAACATTTTTTCCCATATGAGATTTGATTGTGCTAGTGGAGGTTGATGGTGAGAGAAAAATCAGATTGCTTACAGGTTTTGACAGGAGTATAAATGTTGATAGTGCCATTTACTGAGATGAAGAATAGGATAAAGATTTGGTAGAGTTTTGTTTTGGTCATGCTGGTTTTAGAATACTTCTGTATATCCATTGGTGGCACTTGTATATAAGAACAAGGCTACTAATAAATAGGTTGGTAGCTCGAAGCCCCCCAGAGGTGCCTGGTAAGAAAGACCTGGCAGTCTGCTTCTGAAAGGTTACAGTTTAGAGAAACTCATGGGGTACAGGGCTGTCTCCCCAGGTAGGATTGCTGTGAGTCACAGTATGTGGTTCCAGCGGATTGTTAGATAACCCCCAGGAGAGCTACAGAGGGGGAGAATTGCCTGAAGGTCACGAGAGAAGTTGTGGAGACATAAAGTTGGATGTTAACGTCATTCAAATTCAAACTCACTGCTGTTAAGTTGATTCCAATTTATAGTGATCCTCTTACCAACTTTCCAAGGCTATAAATTATAATGTGAGGAGACAGGTCATCTTTCTCCCACGGTTTTCAACTGCTACAAATGCATGACCTTTGGGTTAGCAGCTCAGCTCACCACAGACTATGCCACCAGCGCTCCCTTGATATTTATTGTTATACCAGCAGTTCTCAAGACAACCCCTAGGTTTGGTGACTCACACAGAAGACTCTCAGAACCTCGTCGCCTTCATAACCTTGACTTTTTTTTTACTTAAAGTTTTATTTTTTTAAAGTTTTGTACATTCAGTGATTTATTTCCTTTTTAAAAATTCTGTTTTGTTCATGATGATGACTGTAACTTTATGGGGAAAGGACACAAAGCAAAAACAGGGCAAAGGCACCAGGGCATGAAGTCCAGAGGAATCCAAACATAAGCATCTCAGAGTTCTTTGCTAGTGAGTCACACATAGCCGCTTAATTCTTCAGTCTCAAATTGAGATGTGTGTGAAATGTTGTCTGTCACTTAGTGAAGACTCTGCCCATGGTTGTATTTGATCAGGGTTGGTCATGTAGACACACTCTGTATGATATGTACCAAAATCCAGACCTGTAGAATGAAAGTATGTAGTCAGCATAAACTATATTATTTGCACAAATAGTTTAGAGACAACAAGCCACCCTTATCAGTTAAAGAATGGTGAGAACACTCTTTAACATCCCCAGCATTTGACCCCCACCTTGCAGATAGGCCTTTCTGCAGGATAGAGGCCTCAGACTTGCTGTGCTAACTCTTGTATGCTCAGTTGTCAGACAGTTCGGTTTTCACAATACATGAAGTACTTACTATAGGAAGTGCTGAGAATACTAAGAAAGAATTCCTGCACTTATTAGGCCTTCTATAGGTCTGTCGTGTGTGGAATCAGATACAGAAAACCGTAAGTTGAAGTAGATGTACCAAAGGCATTCTGTAGAGCTTCAGAGGAAGACAAGGCCCCAGGCTGGCTTGGTAACGCTCCAGATGTCCAGCTGACAGTTCAGGCAGAGGGTTTGTATGTACACACAGACAGACATGTATTTTCATTTTCATCTAACTAAACATGTATTTTCATCTGTTAAGATCAAATTTATTATCTCTTGGAAAAGTGAGCAGCAGCAATTTATAAAATTATAATCCATTTTTATTTTTTTAGAATAAATTTTAGTTATTTGTAAAGTTAATCAGATTAAAAATATGTACCTGCGACATTGTGTTCAATGTAATATTATATGTACCTTTTTAGTCATCCAGGTTTTTTATAGACACAGTAAAAGGTTTTGGACCTTTTTCACTAAATGATTTCTCCATTTAATATGGAGTCAGAGAGCTCCTTCAATTATGAAGATACTTCATTGATTTAATTGTATCTGATTTTTCATCTTTAAGTGAAGTAGCTTTCAGCTAACGAGCTACTTAATTTAAAACAATCTGTTAATAAAAGAGTCTTGAATGTTTCGTCTGTGATTTTGAGACTTATATAGCAAAACTTTGATTTATTCTACTGCTCAAGGAAATGTCCTGTATTGATCAGTTGCCTTTACTAATTAAACTAGAGCCATTCCTCCTCCCATTTTTGGCTTTGGAGTTTAGGAGTTAAAACCCACCAAGTCCATTGACCATCAAATTCATAGCAACCCTCCACTGAGTTTCTGTAAATCTTAACAGGAGCAAATCTCTCCAAGGATTGACTGGTTAATTTGAACTTTGAACTTGAGCCCTTTGAAAAGGTTTTGTGGTTATAACACATTTGAACATAATTGTATAATTAGTACTGAAGTTATACTCAAGAGTAACTCTTACACTTAATTCAGTTCAAAATCTCTCCAGGAATTGTGAACAGTAGGTGGGTGGATGTTTTTAAAACAAAATCTTTGATAAGTTCTGATTGATTCATCTTTTTTTTTAAAGTGATGTTGAATTCTGCAGAGACCATATTTTAAAGATAGCAACTGGTTAAGTTTTGAGGTTGGTTGGGTTGTCTTTTTTTTTTTTTTTTTTTCATTTGGTTTTATAACTCCTTCTGACATGAATTTGATCACATCAGGGACTTCCTATTGTCTGTAGGATGAAGACCCTGTGCTTTGACACTGAGGGGCTTTTATAAGCTAACTGATTCGCTACCCCACCAGATTCTTCTCCTGTTTTCTCATACACCACATTCACTTTCACCACCTGACGTTACTTGTCACTTCTTCCTCTTTGCCCTGTTCTTTGGGAGGGTTAGCCATTCAGAGAGGAGATGGTATGAACAAAGGTACGTGGAGGAGAGGGAAAACAAGCTCTGAGTTGAAAATTGCTGATGGTTTAGTGCTGGTAGAATGTGAAGGCTCAGGAAGAATATGCAAAGATGAGGCTGGAGAGATCAGATCCTAGCGATCAGAACCCAGATTATTCTTTGTATTCCAAGTATAGTAATCCATAAATCCCTTCATTGAGTAAGCAGGTGAGTGCTGAGTACATGTCGGTATGAATGACCTTGATGTAATGAGATGATTATTGAAAATAACTGGATGACCTTAAACCTGTGTAAGACTTGCCAAAAGATAGTATAATTTGATAAATATATCTTACATTGGTTCTGAAGCATATTGCAATGCAGGAGAACGATAAATCCCTGCCTTAGGGCAAAATACCTCTAGATGGAAAGAATGTGTAACCAACAATTAAGCTATACAGCCTAAAGGAAGGAAATGGCCTGGGGAAATAGTAAAGAGATTTAGAGTTGATAGGTGCCTGGATTATGACTCATAGTGTGACCCTGTGAACAACAGATCTGAACTCTGTCCTATCCTGACACCTGCAAGCCCATTGCTGTGTCAGTCCACCTGGTTGAGAGTTTTCCTCTGCTTCACTGACCCTCCACCTTTCCAAGCATGATGTCCCTCTCCAAGGAATAACCTCCTAGCAGCATGCCAAGGTGAAGGAAGGATTCGCCCGCAAGAAGATGCTGTTTGGATATAGATCACTGAGTGAAACATGAGTTCAGTGGCTCTAAACAGTAGACCTGGAGGAGAGGGAATGAGCATGGCATGATCTGGGGAAATAAAGTTCTAAGCAACAAGAACTATAATGGTAAAGGCCCTGAGACAAGAGGGCAGTGTAAGCCATTGAGGAAAGAGGAGGTGAGGCCAGAGAAATAAAGGACTGTCTTGAAAACAGCTGTATAACTTTATACATAAGTCTTTTGGAGACAAGACTAACCATTAGAAGTTTTGAGCAAAGGAGGGACGTGACCTCACTAAACAGCAGCTAAAATGATATTTTTTTAGTAGATTATAGGAGGGCAGAGGTGAGAGCAAAGCAGCCAGCAGTGGCTAGAAATCAGGCAAGAGATGGCAGTATCTTAGACCAGGTTGATAGCAGAGGAAGAGGTGAGTTAATTTATTTCTGAATGTTTTAAAGATAGAATAAAAAGTGTTATCACAAATAGTAAATAATTAGATCTTGTAACAGAATCCCCCTCCCCTTTAAACCCTCACCTCTGAATAAGGGAAAAAAGTTGAACAGAAAAAAGAATTAATTTTTGTGTACCATGATTTAGTTAGTCATTTGGCTCCAATTCAGTGAAATTTGCTACTTTAATAATCCATAAGTAATAAAATTGGACCAGGCTAGGCTGAAACCCCATCTTACCTCAGAGTATTAAAATAAGCTTTAGAAAAATACTATAAAGGTTGAAGGTGGATAACATTCCCGTCTCAAATTAATTTGGTATGGCTTCTTCTTGAAGTTCCTATAAAAAATACTTGACTCAGAAGGCTAAGATGTAGTGGTATCTTGTTTAAAGTCATTGACTATCCCAACAGTTTGGTCGATGCTCAGCATTTCAATTGAAACTGCTCATCTGCTTGCTGTTTGAGGTTTTATGGTAGGGCAGCTGATTCACATTAAGTGCTAGTTGTTGTCATCTCATTGAAATATATTGTTTAAAAGGAATATGTCAGTTAAAAAAAGACCCAACTACCTTTCAGATATAAACCACAAAGGACTTATTGCCGATATGTTTAAAAGTTATCTCTTCAGTTGAATAAAAGTGCACACCTAAAAAGTGAAAGAAAAAAAAAGTTATCTCTTAAGATACAATGTAAATACGGAATACAGACTTAGTCCAGAATTAAAATAATAATTAAATAGTTCAATTAGAGTTGAGGTCAGTTTGGACATGTGTGTTGACATGCTCACGCTCTCTCTCTTGAATTGTTGGTGTGTTTGTATTGATGACTTATATAGTTAATTTACCTCCACTTTAAACATTGGAATTTATTGTGTTCATTTCATTCTAACCTTAAAAGTTTTGGCTCACTTTCATTTCCAGCAGAATGTCTCCTTAAAAAGCAAGTCATCACAACTGATGATACCAATTTCTTATTAATTCTCTGTAAAATCAGCTATTGACTTTTTTCTCTATTTCCCTTTCAAAGGGAGGAGGAAGAAGGAAAAAAAGATTATTTCTATGATATAATCTTACTCTCTTCCCCACCCACCACAGGAAGAATGTGATTTCCGGTCAAGCTGGGTATCCAAATGTCACAACATGTGCCTTACTCTTCTTCTGTTTTTAAATACGTAAATCATTTTGTCAGTTTTTTGCTTTTTTTTTTTTTAAAGTAGGTCTGTCCTGATTAAAAACAAAAGTAATCTTTAAGCTTATATATCTATCTTTTCATCTTTTCTGGGCAGAGAGGCAGATGAAGGCTGTAAAAAACCCTTAGAAAGATTGCTGAACATCTGGCAAGAAAGAAGTGTGTATGGCGGCGAGTTCATACAGCAGCTGAAGCTGTCTATGGAGGACTCCAAGAGCCCTCCCCCCAAAGGTAGACACATCACCACATGTTTACAGCTCTTGGTCTTTGCCTGCTTTCGAATCAAATGTGAAAAGCTGCAGTGGGGGTTGCTGTGAACCACCAACGATTGTATGATTCTTCAGAGAGATGATCATGAATGATGGTGAGAATTTATGTGGTGCTTGCAGTGTGCAGGCCTGGGTCTAGTACTCATGCTTCCCGTCATCCCACACCCTAACGTGGGCTTGGTATTCTTGTCTCACTCCTGCTTTTCAAAGACTTCTTGCCCAAGGGGGAGGAATAACAGAATTTTTCTGCTGAAGTGATCTAAAAAAGTATTCAAGACTAAGTAAGGTTTTTGTCCTCGCTTTGCCATTAATTATAGAATCTTGGACCCTAAGCCCTTCTACAACTTCATTAAACATTTACACTGCTTTTGGACTATACTTTTGTAGTTGTTGGCTTGCTGCCTAAAACTGATTTTGGTTTTTATTGAACCCAAGATATCTTCAGAAAACATATATGTGTGAATTCTACTAAGTCCCTCATAGCATTTTATTTTATTTCCTCTTTAAAGACTAGTAATAAGGTCAAATACTGTTTGGTTGTTTGGCTTTGGGCTAGCTGTGATTTAACTCAAGTTTCTAAGACATTTTTCTGAGGTTTTGATATGCTCTGATGGCATACACTCTCATTTTCTGGAGGTAACAGTATTAATTTTTTTTTTTTTTGGCAGTGGTTGGGGTAGTAGAGACTTTTTATAATCTAAACTAGTCCCTTTTCCAGATTCTTCTAATGCCATTTCCTTAAAAGCACACTGTGTTCCTTGGCCACAGTGACTCACTAGCAGTTTCCCCTTGGATTGTTCAGTTGGTAGCTCTTCCTTTGTATCTGCTGTTACCTGTGTCTGCAGTGTTCTCATGCCCCCTCCCTGTATGTTGAACTTACTCTTCAAGAATGCAGCTCTGGTTCCGACGGCTCCACTAGCTCCTTTGAGCTTATATAACCATTCAACCATACTCTCCTTGGTCTCCTGGTATTTCATGCCGGTCTGTGGTATAGTACACAGCCATGATTGGCATACACAACAGTATCATTCATTCAGTAGCTCTTTATTGTATATAAGAACTGCCAAAGTTCTTAAGAGCTCTTCATGTCTAAGATTATATGCATTTTGAGGTTAGGTAGTTTTTCCATGAAACTGAAGATTTGAGACTTTGTCAAGAGTGGCATAAGTGCTTACAGACTGTAGGCTGTTGTTTTAGAGTTGATAGAAAACAATTATGGATGATTTTGGCTGTAGCTTCTGAAAAGCAAGATGGTTTTTACTTTGGATTCTAGTCATATTTATATTGGGTCCTTTGGAGCTATTTTATACAACTTTGAGGAATTCTCCACCATTCTTTTCTCTCCTCTGCTTTGGAATTCATTGGTAAACAGTACTGATCCCCCACTCCCACCCCATCACCCTCCACTTTTGCAGGTAGGAGAGTGCTCTAAAGAGGATGTTTTATACTAAATGTTGAGTTTGAATTCAGTAAGCATTTGTTGCTCAGTGTTTTGAGTAAAGACCTGTGCTTTACGAGAGGGGGGGAAGAGGAGGGAGAAATAGTTCTGCACTCAAGGAAAGCCAGGCTGATTAGGAATTTGTGGCAATAGTAGATTTCAAAACAGCTCCATGGAGTTGGTGAATTTTTTTATTCTAAACATTAACATAGGCAATATCTATGTGAAACAAACTAATTTAAAGAAAATGTCTCTTTTTCTGTTCTGGAAAGATGAAAACAAGGACCAAAAAGTTCCTGTGTCCATGTGTATTAGTCCAAGCTTGCTCTACTTCTTATCATTATCCTCTTGGGATTCGAGTTATGCAATTTTTTTTCCTTGCTATCAGAATATTTTGCACAGTCCTTTCAAAATGTCAATGAGTTCTCTGTAGGTTTATTTCCAAATTTGAATACTCTTTTCATAATCCAGCTCTGATTCACAGATAATTCTTCATACAACTTCAGAGTTTACCTTGGATGTAAAAGATCCTATGGAGAATAAATGATTTAAGGAATTCAGTTTTACAGCTGCCTATTTCTTAAAGTAGAGTTGGTGCAGGTGGTACAAACCGTTAACATGCATGGCTGCTAAATGAAGCTTGGAGATTTGCATCTACCCAGGGGCTGCTGCCAGAGGAAGACCTGGCAGCCTGTTTCCTCACAGTCTCAGCCTTTGAAATGCTGTAGAACACGGTTCTGCTCCTCATACACATGGGGTTGCCAAGAATTAGAGTCATCTTTCTGTGAGGTGTTGCACCATTAGCATAAAGAGCCCAAAGCCTCTGTGCCTCTTTGAACTCGCCAGTGACCCCTTGGAAGAAAGCTGGGCTAGTCCTTTCTAACAACGTGGCTAAAAAATGTGAGATGTCATTGCCACTAAGGAACACCTAAGTTGTACTTGCTTCAAGACAGATTTATTTGTTTCTTGATATTTTATGAGTTAATCAGTACTTCTTGCCAGCAACAGAATTCAAAGGCTTTAGTTCTTTTTCAGTCGTCATTAATTATTTTCCAGCTTTCACATGCATACAAAGCAATTGCAAATCTCATGGCTTGGTACCTTAGTCTTAAACAGACATCCTTGCTCTTTAACTCTTTTAAAGGAGATCCTTGACAGCTGATTTGCCTAGTGAAACTTGTCATGTTATCTTGATGGCTGCTACCATGAATTTTGAGGGTGGATCTAAATAAAATTAAATCCTTGGGAACATCGGATTTTCCCCCCCATCTGTCATATCATGCTTGACATTGCCTATTGGTCCAGTCATGAGGATTTTGTTTTCTTGATGTTGAAGTGTAATTCATACTGAAGGATATAGTCTGATTTTCTTCAGTAAGTGCTTCAAGTACTCTTCACTGTCAGCATGCAAGATTCTGTCGTTTGTACAGCACAAGTTCTTAATGAATCTTCCTCTAATCTTAATGAGTCCTCTTTAGTAGTCCAACTTTTCAAATTGTTCAGGTTACAGATTGAATAGTTACAGAGAAAGGGTACAACCCTGACACATTCTTTTTGTCATTTTAAACCATGCAACATCTCCCTGTTCAGTTTGAACAGCTGCTGCTTAGTCTATATACATGTTTAGCATGAGCACAAATAAGTGCTCTGGAATTCCCCTTTTTCTCAAAACTACTCATAATTTATTATAATCCACACAGTTGAACGCTTTTGCATACTCAAACACAAGTAAACATCTTTCTGATATTTTCTGCTTTCAGCCAAGATCCATCTGACATCAGAACTGATATCCCTTGTTTCATATCATCTTCTGAATCCAGATTGAAGTTCAAAAGAAATAGTCATTTTATTCAAATAGAGATCACTCATGCATTGGAACCTCAAACCCAAATTGATCTGAGATCTGACTTTAAAGCATATATTCTTCACAGTGTACTTTTCCCTAAAAACACATAGATTCAACAGATTTTAATTATAACAAGTATTTGTGAGCAAGGTACACAGTTTTCCTATTCAAAACATGGGTCTGAACTCCAGCTTCCTTGCTGTAGGACCTTGAACCCCATATGATCTCTCTGAATCTCAGATTCCTCACTGTGCAGTAATGCCTAATAATAAGTTGGTTGTGAGGGTTACTTGAGACAGTGCATAGGTAGGATGTTAGCATGCCCAAGTTTCACTTGGTCCAGTTCTGGACTCAGCCTTTTAGTCCAGTGAGACGATCAGGTCAGTAGCTTTTAGAACTGTGCCTCAGTAAGTTAGCAAGTGTAGGTGTTGTTAGCCTTGTATTTGTTACTTGCCCACGTATGTATACAATTCCTGTGTAAGACCACTGTTCTGAAAATATAAGGTTTACACACAGATGGGAAGGGAAAGTGATGAGAGTAAAAACTGATAGATAATAGACACTAAGATAGGTGAAGGCAAAGCAGTATACTATAAGAGATTGATCAGACATTGTTTATAGTTAGTTGTAATTCATGTTATAAAACAAAATGTGATAAAAAGCCCAAAATGTGTACGAGGGATTGAAAAACCAACATGATTTGTAAATTTTCACTCAGATGGCAAAACAAATAAGTCTTTTATGTGTCAGACAAGGAACAAAGGGGGGGAAAGCTGTTGAAACAATATTATTGATTCTTTTCTAATTATAAAAATAATCTGTTAAGTTGTGTGGGTTTGGTTTTTTTAAAGTCCCAGACAATTTCAAGTTGAGCCTTTAGAAAATCCAGTTATATATGTAGATGACTATGTTTTGTAATGTGCTTTGGAAGCATTTAAGCAAATTTTTTACCTTAAAAGTAGCTTTATGCTCTGTAATAGTGTCTGAAATTCTGCCACAATTAGGACTCCAATCAGCACGTTGTAAACCCTTATGTAATAGGATTACTTGATGACCCCCTGTAGACCCAGGGATAGGACGCAGAATAAAACAGAAAATGTGTGCAATATGAAGACAGAGGAACACTGGCCTCCACCAGTAGTGTTTCCCTACATGTAGACAAGGCGGGTGAGTGAATGAGGGAGAAATACAAACTTCACACTGCTCTCTAATCAGTTCCAACTCACAGTGCCTCTCCTTGAGGTTTGAGGCTGTGATCTTTCCGTGAATAGACTGCCTGCCCACCTTTTCCCCATGATGCTCCTGGTAGAGTCGGTTAGCCACCCGGAACGTAAGACACTAGGCCACTGGAGCTCCTTTGCGGTAACAGAAGGGAGTATTAAATACTATCATCAGAGGCTGAGGTGATAGGGAAATGGTGCTTTATCTTAAATTCAAAGCATACTGAAATAGGTTCTTTCAGAGGCTGTCTCATAGACTGAAAATATTAGACAGCCTGAGCAGTAACTCTTACCAGTTAGACTAAGTAGAATTACCACGTTGTGTAAAGGGAAGCAATGGTAGTCATTCCCGGTCAAGCCCAGACACTTTCTCAGTGCCATGCTCTGTCTGCCTCTGAAAGGTTTCGCACTCAGGTCTGCGGTTACTTTCCTTAGTACTTTAGGAATCTAAAGGAAAAGGTGTTTTTGTCCGAGAAGAAAAGGCCTGTGTGTGTCTGCCAGCAGCCATATAGAGTAGTAAGTGCCAAGTACGTAAAAAGAGAGTCCCGATTTGGACATTGAAAAATGAAGACAGGCGAGGAATCGATGCATTTGAATTATGGTGTTGGCCAAGAATATTGACTTGTGTGACCTGTCAGAAGAACAAACAAATCAGTCTTCAAAGAAATAGAACCAGAACGCTCCTTAGGAGCAAGGATGGTATGAATATGACTTGCTTACTTTGGGCACATCAGAAAACACCAAAGGGTATGGTGTTTGATAAAGTGAAGTGTGATTATGAAGTTGGCACAGGCCCAAGCAGCATTTTGCTCTGTTATTTATAGAAAGTTGCCATGAGTTGGAGCTGACTGCATAGCAGCTAACAAATGTGGTCTTTCAAAGGGAGAGGATGACACTTAGAGGAAGAGGGGTACTCAGGATGGCATTACCATCCTGTATTGGCAGACGTTCAACTTAGAAGCACCACCAATCATCATTTGAGGTTTTTAACTATACACAAATATGCTATGAACATTAGAGGAACTATACCTGACTGGATTAAAACTCAGCTTTGGGAAAATTAATAAGAGAGTGCTGCTTAACTTGGACAAGAAGCAACTAGAGGTAATGAGACCATATGGGATAGTCATTTGGACATTGCATAATAAAAGCTGATCAGAAAGTGCTAGGAAGGAACAGGGAGGGACAAAAAGAATGAATGGACTTTGGGAGAGATTTTGATGGCCTCCAAGATTTTGTATTTGGAGTAGGGAGTAAGTGAAAGTTGATAACCAAAGTAAGTCGGGGAAATGATGACTAGTTAATTTCCAGAAATCTTGGGTTTGTGGTACCAGTAAGACCTCCAGGTAGAGATGGTAGAGAATTGAAAGGTAGGATGATGATGGCTAACACCGCTAATTAATTACGCTGTCTTCTGTCAGGGTGGCAAAGAGCAGAATTCACCGTACAGTTATTTCCACCCATTTATTTTCAGACTTGCATATTAACAAGAAATAGTAAAAAGATTTCTGAATCTGGAGGCAAAAGACTTTGAGTATAGGACCCAGCGTTCGACTGAAGAATTGTGTGACTTTGGACAAATCACAACCTGGTGGTGGCCTTGATGTTTTTGTATGAACATTGAGATAGAAACATAAAGCCCCAAATTGATCTAAGGCCTTCTAGTGCAAAATTTAGTGATTCTAAGTGTTCTGAGGTATTAAATGATACATGAATTTTATGAATCAGAACTGTTTTTGGAACTTTGAAAATGGAAGAATTTCAAGTTTTGGTTCTTTGCCACCTTACCTAGCAATTGAACATTCCTCTAGGTACTTGAAAGCAAACAAAAAACAATGTTGGGTTTGTGGGTTCCCCCCCCCTTCTTTTGTGGTACTTATGTTCTAGTGGCCCTGCCTCACATAGGACCACTTTGATGTTGCTTCAGCTATTCACATTGATCATACTGCATACCACACATGCTAACTAGGTAGCTGCTGTTTGCAAAATACTGGTTCGTATTTCATGGATAAATTATATCTTAATAGATTATCCATTAAATAAATACAGCACTTTTGCTTTGCATGGTATAGTAAAACTAGAAAAAAATGATGCAGGAAAGTGGAAACTATGACCTGAATAATCAATAGGGAACATAAAATTTCTGTGAAACTTTTGTCAAACATTAAATAAACACCATCTCACCATTGATTATAAGTGTCTGCTGTACGGTGCCATCAAGGCTGCTTGGACTCAGCAGCTCTGTGCACAGCAGCGCAGACCCCTTGACCTGCCGCATCTTCACAGCCACTGCTGTGCTGGAGCTGCCGTGTCAGTCCATTGCCTTTGATGTGGCTTCTTTTTCACTGATCCTCTGCTTTCATAATCATGATGTCTTTCTCCAGAAACTGCACATTCCTGAGATCATCCTCAAAGTGTGGGAGATGAAATCTCCCCATTCTGTCGAAACATTTTTTAGAAGTGTTTTGGCTGCATTTCTTCCAAGATAGATTTGTTTGTCCTGTTGGCAGTCCATGATATATCCCATATTCTTTACCACTCAATTCAAAGGCATCGATTCTTCAGTTTTCCTTATTTATTATATATACACCCTGCTTTGGTATTCATCAATGTACAGAGAAACAAAAAAGATAGTGACTAAGATATTTTTTAGACTTACTTTAAGATATAAAGATTGACGATTAAAGTGTTTAATTTGTAGCAGATTTGTCAGTAGTAATCTAAATTGTTTACTTTCTTCCTCACTGTGTAATTTATGATACAGAACAGACATCTTTTCTGTGCTTTGGCAAAGTGTCATATTCACTTTTCAGTCTCCCTCAACTTCTAACATTTTATTCTTTCTGCTTTCTGTGTTGTAAAATAGCTCTGAGTGGTCCTTTAAACCAGAAGTTTTTGCCGGCATTATTCCTTTGGGACATTGTCATCGTTTTCTCTAAACCACTTCCTTCATTTATGTTAATATGTTCATCTTTGCTAAAGTCCCCGCACTGTTGGTGTAAAGTGTCTAGAATGGGCAGCATTGATTTTCCACAGCCGACTGTAGCTCCATCTACATGCCATTCAGCTTTCCCTTCCAGCATTTGTTTCATTTTTGTTTCTTTGCTGCACTTTCGTCTCTGCTGGCCAATTCTCCTCTTCAATTATATATCTTTGTCACATGCCATGTGGTTTTATCATTGGGAGACAAGGAGGCCACACAGCTAAACCCTTGGCTGTCTGCACATAAACTACATAGCAGATGTGCAGTCATCAGTCACTGACAGACTTTGAAGGAAGAGACATGATTGATCACTGATCATGATTTTCATCTATATCATTTATGTAAATAATACAGGTATTTATTTATATATAATATATAATCAGATATATATTATGAAATATATATTATTTTATATAATAATTTAGCAGCGGTGGTTGCGCTGTATGCAGTTGCATAAGGTTAATATGCTGTAATAACTAAAGTTTGTGTCATACTGTTGGTGGGCCTGGTTCATTTAACTGACCCATAAGCCATGGTCACAGAAATCAATGTATAGAAGAATCCTGGCGCTCAAAGGATTACCTGTATCACACATGTTAATGTTTATTTTTCTTGTGGAACAGAAAAAAAAAGTTAAGAAAAAAATAAAACTCGAGTGACTTGCCTTTCCACTTCAAATATAAAGTAGTTAATATATAAAATAGAGAATGGGGACTACATACTTGGTTACAAAAATAAAATATTTATGCAAAAATATTTCTCACTCTAGAACTGTTGGTTTATTTTGAGACAGGTGCAGGTTAGTCGCTTTTTTTTTTATTTTTATTTAAATAGCATTCAGTTTATTACAAATATTTAGTATTGACTTCCCATATTTCCCCCCTTTTGTTTTTATCATAATTATGTTATCTAGATGAGCAGTTAGTCCCATTTTTTGACAAATGAGAGGGTCATTAGATGGTGATAGTTTATTTGAATGTAGTAGAAAGCGCACAGATTTTGAAAGCATACCTTTATATGGGACATTTAACATCTATGGGCCTTTAGTTTTTCACCTATAAAATACTATGTCTTAGAATTGTTTGAATGGTTAAATGTAGATGAACTATTTTGATGCTTGCCATATATGTTGGGTGTTCAATAATTTCCTTACTTTTAAAACCAAAATTTTCAGTTACATTTCTTGTGTTGGACATTTCATTTGTGTTGTCCAGTTTGATACAAAAGAAATAATTTTGGAATTAAAATATCTGTCATAACAGTTTAAAAGCATGCAATGCAGGTGATTTAAAGAAATTTAACCTTTCAGCTCCCAAAATGGTTAATTTAATTAATGGCAATTTAAGTCATTTCTCTGAATAGTCTTTATCATAGTTTTCAGTAACGGTATGTTCCATTTTAAGGTAAAATTGGGTTTAAATAGTATTAAATAATTGGCATAAAGTTTAATGTTATCCAATCTCTGAAAATGTCTGCCACTGCTGCCCTGGTTTTTTTATTTAGCCCCTTGTACATAATATTTTACTCCGTCCACTGAATTTATGACTCATTTAATTCATCACTATTTTTTTCTAGTTACAGAAGAGAAGAAGTCTCTGAAGCGAACTTTTCAGCAGATGCAAGAGGAAGAGGATGATGACTACCCTGGAAGTTACTCTCCCCAAGACCCTTCTGCGGGACCTCTCTTGGTATGTCTTAACCACCTCAGAGAATAGACTCAGTGAACTGATTTCTGATTGGAAGATGATGGCCACAAGGTGGCACCAATATCTAAGAGTATGGATCACCAGAGGGCAGCACTTGGAGCACTGGGTACCACAGTGGATTCCACAGTGTAGCTTGTGGAGCCGCTGGCTTGCTTTTGTCTTTATTTGCCTTGACTTTGGGATAGATTGTTTCGGTTTATTAAAGTACTTAGACTTGGTGGTTTGGTTTCTTTTTTTTTTCCACAAGTAGAAAATAAAAATAGTTTTTAAAAATAGAATTTTGAGAAAGGAATAAATTATACTGAAAAGCATAGCATTCAAATGCTCTCTTTCTATCATGGCTTTTCTCTGGTAGCACAGTTCTTTCTAAGTAAGTAGTTTGTTTTACGGGCAGTCTGTGGCCTTAGCAAATTTGCTACAGCTAACCTGTTTAAAATGAGAACTAGCATTAACTAGGTTTGCATTGCTGGACTCTTCAAATGTTAACTTACAAGCTTTGTGCAGTTAGAATTACCTGCTACTGTTGAGTTGATTCTAATTCATGGTAATCCTACAGGACAGAAGAGAACTCATTATTCCCAAACCTATAATCTTTATGGATACAGACTGCTGCCTCTGGTGCCCAGAGTGGCTGGTGGGTTCAAAGGGCTTAACCACTGTGCCACCAGTGCGCCATAATGATGCACTGTTAGGTCCTAGATCCTTGTATTTAGAACTACAACCTGAACAGCCGTAATTACTCACTTTCAGGATAATTACCACCTATGAAGCTATTTACTCCTAGGTATTGGCTAAGCTGTCAGCATCCTGAATCTTCTGACAGCTTAATAAATCCCTCCTTTGATGTACTAAGAATACATATCCTTTGTTGTCCTTTCTCTGTGTTCTGCCTCCTTATTTGTACTTAGTGAGTTTGCCATGTTTAATTTGAGGAGTCACTGCCAAAATGGAAAATGTCATCTTTGTAAAGCAAACCCAAGAGGGATTGCAACTAATGCCATGAAGCAAGATGCGGATAAGGTGTTGAGTGGGAAACTAATGTGCTCTGTAAACGTAACACCCAAACCACAAGAAAACGCTTTTTAATTTTTTTTTAAGTGCAAACGTAAGGAAGAGTTGAACTAGATGGTGTACATTTCAATTAATCAGATAAATATAGTTGATAAACATATGTATATCTTTATTCTTTATTGGAGACTGTATTACAAATTATATATCATTTGAAATTAAATATGGATCAGAGTTCTGGGGGTTTTTAATTGCCATAAAGGAGTTTTTTTAAATTTGCTCTCAAAGAATTAGAATTTTATTCTTATCTTGCCACAGAATAGTAAGTTTTGCACAGCCCCTTAGAACTCATATCATTGACTTTAGTGTAAGTTCTGTAACTAGATTATTTTTTTAAATGTCAGGAAAGAAGAATTTCAGGTTTTTCTCCCCTTCTTTAACTCCACCTGATTTTTTTCAAACTCAAATGTCTCTTAATAGAGCATGGTCTTTGTATTTTTCTTGTACAGACTGAGGAACTAATCAAAGCTTTGCAAGATCTGGAAAATGCTGCATCAGGTGATGCAACTGTTCGACAGAAAATTGCTTCCCTGCCTCAGGAAGTTCAGGACGTTTCTCTGTTGGAAAAAATAACAGGTGAGGAGGTACATTCTGGATGAAAGATGAGAAGAGGAAAATCTGTTGCCTCAAATCGTGGGATACGCGTTTGTCTGCAGGTGTGGACTGTCCATGTGTTATCTTGGGATTTGGAAACAACTCATTCACTAAACAGTGAAGCTACTGGAGTAACTAAAGCTTGAACAGTGATTCTAGGAATTACTACAGAAATGCTGCGAGGTCGTAGCTGGTGGCAGTCTTAATGAGGCCTCGTGAAAACAGTGCCCATTATGTGCGGGAGCGAGGTACATTAACTCCTGATCCTCTTACTAAAGGAAAGTCAAATATGATTCAGTGCTGTTTGATTTATGCAGCCGAGCCCTGCGGTGGGCAGCAGGTAGACACCACCTAGACTAAACCCCAAGCTATTGCTGCTATTGAGTCTTTGCAAACTGGCTACTCTTCTGGTGTCTGGGGCCGTGAATCTTAATGGGAGCAGACTGCCTCATTTTTCTCCTGCGAGCAGCTGATGGGTTCAGTTTACTACCTTTTTGACTGGCATCCCACTATACCACCAGGGATCCCTAGGGACATCTCCTTGCCTTTTAATGGTCTATAAATTTGGCCTCCCTCTTTGGTTCAAACAATTGAACCATATTCCTACACTCAGCAAAGTCTTCATCACAATCACTTTCACGTGCAATATGTGCAGCACAAATCATAGAGAAGGCTTTGAGCCTTTTCTTGTACAAAAGTAAGACTAAATAAGCATATGCACCAGTTCTGACTTACCTACAAATTCTTAAAAATACAGTGAGGAACTGATACACTTCCTGGGGACAACCTGTACAGTGTGTGCTGCCACACCCCATCACTGTGCTTCCTCTACTGCCAAAACCTCCAGGTGTGTGGTGATTAAATGAGGGACAGTTAACACTGTTCCCACTTTATACACAGGAAAATGAACAGAGGAAATGACCTGTGGATTACTATTTGTAGGTTGTACTTTGTGTTTGGTACTTCTTCTCTTCATGATCCTCTCCATATTGCACAGGAGGAGAATGGGGCTTTGAGAATTAGGTGTCCCCCATGATCCCCCAGGTAGCCTAGACTGCCAAACTATTCCCATTTTAAAAGCTCAGAACTGGAGCTCTGGAGGCCTAGTGGCAAGAAGCTACACTGTAATACTAAAGGCATGTGGTTCGAATCCACCAGCTACCCTGATGGTGAGGGAGGAGCAATCTCCTCCTGTACCAGTTGGATCTGATTTTACCATACTCTCTCTCTCTCTCTCTCTCACACACACACACACACACACACAAATAATAAAATTTAAAACAACCCTCAGAACCTTATTTTCAGTCTCGCCCAATGTTCACAGTTTGCTCCCTTTCGGTTCCTTGATTTGACCACTTCTCTGACATCTTCCAGATCCATCTTTTTGACAGGAGTGAATGCCTTTGGGTTTCTTTGTCAGCCAGTCCATTGCTGCTTCAGAGGTTCTGGTTTATTATTGGATTCTGTATATTGGGAGGGAAACTGTTAACCTTCCCCCAGAAACATTTGCAGTTGTGTCTGTGATGTTTATATATTGTCTCTAATTTTTTTGGGTCCATTTGTACTTAGACAAAGAAGCAGCTGAACGTCTTTCAAAAACGGTGGATGAAGCTTGTCTGTTACTAGCAGAGTATAACGGGCGTCTGGCAGCAGAACTGGAAGACCGGCGCCAGCTGGCTCGGATGCTGGTGGAGTATACCCAGAACCAAAAAGATGTTTTGTCGGAAAAGGAGAAAAAACTCGAAGTGAGTAATTGCAAAGCAGGCCCAGATTTCCCTAGTTTTCCTTCCTATAGTCTCTATTAGGTAGTTTTTATAATGTGTTTGTTAGCACATTTTTATCTTTTCAGAAGTCATGAAATAGGAGCATTTATCAGATTCCATAAGTTACTTAAGCCTAGTTGAAAATTGATGACAACAGTGGACTTAAGTATCTCTGGCGTTTGGGATCTGTGTAAGCACGCAGCTATTGTGAGGATGGTGCAGGAACAAGCAGGGTTTTGTTGTGTTGTACGGAGGGTTTGCCAGGAGTTGGATATGGATGGCACCTAAGAGCACAGTTGAAGTTGTTACATATTCAGGAAAGAACAGATCAGATTGGAAAAAAACAATGAATGCTTAGTTATAGCATTTAGGATCTTAATGCCACTTTTGGTTCCATTTTTATTTTAAAAATGATAAAAATTGAAGTACAAAAAGAAGAGGTCAGTCAATGAAACCAAGGACATGTTGGTTTAATAGTATTAAGACATGCTTAAAAATTTCTTTTTTTGGGTTATTTTGAAGTTTATTTCTAACTTATGTCCATACTACGCTGTCAGTGGACATCCTCCATGTTCCCCAAGTTGTCAGTTCTAAAATTTCACTTTAATGTTTATGGAGCTTAGTTCTCAAAACAGTTGAGAAGGAACTCCTTGCTTCTCTGAATGAAGACATTAATCTTAGTGTCCTAAGTGGAATTTGAAAGAAAGAGTTCCTCACTGGGCGCTTATTTGGCTTCTTGATGAAGTACGGGGTGGAATAGCCTCAGTGCTTTATCCCTTGGAATAAGAATCAGTGGGGTAACCATTTGGGAAACCCTGCTTACCTTAGGCTGTGCTTGACTTCCTTTTCAGGGGTGTTTTTTTAAAAAAAGATGGAGAAGAGCAGTGATTTTTGTGAAGGAAGGACATGGTGGTTGTGGTTGGAGAATACTGTATTACAAGAGAAACTTCTTCAACCTCACATACAGTAGATGAGGGGAGAGGCTCCATACTCTGCACTCAGAAAATATCCTGCTGGCCCAAAGGGAGGGGAAAGGAGCTTCTAGGCATTGTGGCCGGGAGTGGAGGGTTTGCCTTTAACACAGTTCTCGGACTTGAGGGGTGGAGTGTGTGGTTGGCACTTTTCACCAGCTCCTTACCTGCAGTGATTATGAGAGCCATGATGGATAAGTAGGAGCGGGAACTTGGCACAGCTAGCTAGCAAGCTTGAATGTGGAAGATGGGAAATGGTTGTAAAAATAGTATGCCTTGGATTTAGAGATCAGTACTGACCAGAAATCCTAAAGGGAATTACACGGGCTTAGCAGACGGTCATTTATCTGAAATGCTCATCTTTCACTGAGGAAGCATTTTCAGCACTGTGCCCCGGGACTAATAAGAGAGTGTAATTAATGATTCTGGTTGTAAGTCACCATGCCATCTGTTGAACTGCCCCTTGGCGACACATTAAGGGCTTTCTCTGATCTGTCAAACATTGATTATCATGAGCAGCTGTTGTTGGGTGGAACGTGGCAAGCAACCATAGAGGACAGAGTCTTTGAGAAGGAGATTGGGTTGGTCCACTCAGTTAACTCTTTACTCTGTTTCCCCTGCCTGCAATTACACTTTTCTCTGTACATCTCCTTAGGACTCGTTCTGGTTTCTGTGGAACCGATTGTCTCTCAGGTGCCACAGAAGGTTATTAAAGCAGAGCAGTGAATCAGATTTGAGTCTTTTCTATAGTTTTCTGTCCACATTCCTGAACTCACTTGAATGTTGGGATTGCATTGTTTACAAAGCAGAACACGAGAATATCTCATGACTGGAAAGGACAAATTCTGAATTCAGAGTTCTCCATCCCAATTTATGTCTCTCAGCTGCTAGAACAAATCCACGAATTATAAAAATGGGATGAGGCTTGCTTCATTTTTAAAAAGTAAACGATGAGATGCAGGACATATGTTGAAAGGTAGCTTTATATTCATCCTTGCTAAAAATGTGCGGTCTCATTCCAAACTGTAAGGTTTTTCTCTCACATTCCATCAAAGACTTAGTCTTAGACCTTGTATGGTAAAACTTGCTGATTAGGGGTGAGATGTTAGAAAAGAATACTGAATATCCCATAGACTGCTCAAAGAATAAGTCAGTCTTTCTTGAGTAAAGTGCAGCCAGGCTGCTCCCTAGAGGCAAGGATAGTGCAACTTCACCTCACATACTTTGGGCATGTTGTCAGGAGAGACTGGTCCTTGGAAGAAGACATCATACTGGGAAAGGTCATGAGGATGGGGCAGGGTGGGGCAAGGTTCCCATCTCTTCATGGGGTTACAGTGAGTTGTGGTCAACCCAGTGCCACCAAACAACATCATGGGCCACGTGAAAGATGCATTAATACTGTGAACTCCAAAGCCACACAGAGGTTCTCCCCAGGCCACCCCCCATTTTTGCACTCGTATCCGTTCTCTCATAGAGAGCTCTGGTGACTTAGTGGTACACAGTTGTGTTGCCAACCCAAAGGCATGCAGTTGGAATCCACCAGCTGCTCTGCAGGAGAGAGCTAGGCAGTCTCTTCCCATGTGATTTACTGCTTCTGAAAACCCAGGTGTCAGTTCTGACTCAACAGTACTTACCAGCAACAATCCATTCTCTCAGAGATTTTTCTCTTCCTGCTTAAAAGTTCAAGACATTGGGCTTACAGAAAGGGACATTTTGGATTGCATCATTTTTACCACATACACCAAAATCTGGTATTGATAGGAGTAATACAAAGGGTACAGGAAGTAGTAAATATACAGAAAGTATAGAGGGAGAAAGGTGAGCAAGGTGTGTATCCTCCCTTCAAAGGGCTCACAAGATCGTGGGGAAAACCACCAGCAAAAAGGAAGATGGGAGGTGTCATAAGTAAGGCAGATAGCCAAAATCCTGGTATTGGAGAGGAGCATTGACTATCCCATGGATTGCAAAAAGAACAAACAAGTATGTCTTGGAGAAAGTGCAACCAGAGTGCTCCTTGGAGGCAAACCTGATAGAGCTTTGTCCCACATACTTTGGACATGTTCCTAGAAGAGGCTTTTCTTGGAAAGGAACATCATGCTTAGAAAGGTCAGTGAGAGAGGAAAACCCCCAATGAGATGGATTGTCACACAGTGACTGCAGCAGTGGACTTGTGTGTCAGAAATTGTGAGGCTAGAACGGGGTTCAGATAGATCTTTGTTCACAAGGTCTCTCTCTGTGACGCACCTAAAACCAACAGTGGGTGTTCCGGGAACTGTGATGACCTCCTGGTAAGAAGTTGCATTGGCAACCCTAATGTTGCAAAGTGAGTCCATCAGCTGCTCCACAGATGAAAGTTGCCTCCCTTGTGATTTAAAAGCATCTGAAAACCTACTGGAGGGTCAGCTATGGTCATTCTGATACGAGGGCACACAACAACACAAGTGTTGAGTGATACCTTATTGTGGCAGCTCTTTATATTATATAGTGGTTTGGTTTTTGTTATCTGCCAGCAAGCTGACTTTTAACTCATGATAGCCCCATGCACAATGGAATGGAACACTACCGTCATCAGTAAGTAGAATGCCAGGCCTTTCTTCCTAGACCTGAACAGCCCAATATACATAACAGACTCTTAATGAATTGTTTATGATTTGAAAATGTTTATTCCAAGTATGGAGGTTGTCTTTTAATTTTCTTATTAATGTCTTGTGAAGCATAAAACTTTTGGGGTGTTTTGTGTTGGGTTGTTAGTTATTTTTAATGAAATCTAGTTGTATCTTTTTGTTATTGCAATGGTGGTCCTCATACTTTTAGTGTCACATCTAAGGGTCTGTTGTCAAGTTTGGATTTGACAGTTTCGATGGTAACGAAGATTTTCAGGTGTTTTCTTGATCATAATAAAGAGTTTTCGTTTTTTAATTAAGTTGTTGATCCATCTTGGGTTAGTTATTAATTATAGTATGAGGAAAGGATGTAGCGTTATTCTTTTACAGCACTGTTTCTTGAAGAAAAAATTTCTTGTTGACTGTTTTGGCATCTTTGTCAGAACTCACTTTGTATGGGTTTATTTTTGAACTCTCAGTTCTGTTCCATTAGTCTATGTGTCCAGCCCTATGCCAGTATCACAGTTTCGATCATTATAACTTTGTATTAAGTTTTAAAATTGCAAAGTATAAGTCAAAGTTGCTTTTGTTATGTGGACCCCTTGCAGTTCTATAAGAACTTAAAGATTGACCTTCCATTTCTGTAGAAATATGCTTTTGAAATAGTAATAGGATCAGCATTAGATCTCTATTGTTTTGGAGAGTCGCTATTAACAGTATTGTCTTTCGACCTACAAACATGGGATCTCTTTCTCTTTTTTTAGGTCTTTAATTACTGCTACAGATTTTTTTTTATATTACCAGAGAAACTTATAGTGATAACAGAAGAACTGATACCTTTGAGCTGTGGTGTTGGAGAAGAGCACTGTCCCTTGAACAACCAAAAGAACAAACAAATATGTCTTGGAGAGGGTGCAGCCAGAGTGCTCTTTGGAGGCAAGGATGGTGAGGCTTCGCCTCATGTACGTTGGGCCTGTTGCTAGGAGGGGCTATTCCTTGGAGAAGGACATGATGCTTGGAAAGATAGAGGGTTGGTGAAGGAGAGGGACACCTTTGACCAGGTGATGAAAGGGCTCAAATGTGTCAGTAATTTTGAGGATGGTGCAGTATAGGACAGGGTTCAGATCTGTTGTTCATAGGGTCGCTATGAGCATACTTGACGCTCCTAACAACAACAGTTTTAGTTATTGATCTGTTAACATCCCAGAGGCTGGAGCCGCAGTGGCCTGGTCCATAGCGAGTTTGACTGTTAACCCAAAGACCGCCTCTCGATGGTTCCAATCCACCAGCATCTGTGCCGTGGTAAGACGTCAGCTTACCCCCGTGCTGTTGACAGCCTCAGAAATCCAGTGGAAGGTCAGCAAGAAGTCAATTCCAACAGTACAGTGATGAGTATTTGGCTTAGATG